GAGTGACGGGATGGCCATGGCTGGGAGGATGGTTTCCCCAAGGTTGATGACTTTAAGGTGTAAGTAGTGTGTGAGATTTAGGAAGTACCTCCGTGCATTATCATCATCCTTCCCCTCCTCAATTAGAATGGCGAACTCTAGGTCGGAGTACGGCGTCACCAGTTCTGTGGCCTGTGACCCCATCCCGATGAAAGCGTACTTACAGGGAGGAGGTCCGAGTTTGGCGATGCATTCATCTGTCAGTACTTGAATAAACTCTCGTCTTTCAACTGTGATACTCTTGAACAAGTCCTTGATTGCTTCAGCTCGTTTGATCTCGACCTCTCTCACGACGGGATCGTCTTCATCATACTGATAAGGGTTGTGTTCTTGATGAATTGTTTCGAGCTGAGATTTTGCACGGACGCGGGAGTTTTTAAGTTCCTTTATGTGATCTAACGCGCTGCTATACGGGCACGGTTCACAGTCAAGCTTACAGGTGTTTCTAAGAAACTGCCTTTCTGTTTCCTGCAGTTTTGTTACCAAGTTTTGTTTGTCCCCATCTGTTCTGGCCATGGAGGCGTTATACAGAGCTGCCGCCTGTGTGAATTTTCTACCTTCTCCTGTCCGCTTACCTCGCTCGACGTAGACGTCACCCAACCTGCACAGACAGTCGGCTTCTTTAGCCTTCTTGGATTTACTGCGATCTGTGAGTAGGGAGAAAAATAATATCAATTAGATATGAATCAACTGCAACAGATATATTTAACTTAGTGCCAAGGTCATAATGTTTTTGTTCCAACTGACGGAGATACATCTTTAGAATACAATTACAGTGTTAACCATAAATAACCACGACTAAATGCTACATGCATGTGCCAGAATGGGTATAACAGACCGTGAACAAGCTTCAAGGCAGCTGCTAGGTTCTGCTCTGCTGCGTCCAGATCCCAATTACTCACGTCACGGTCTGCCGTCTGGATGTACCTGCGGTAGGAACTGAACAACAAAATATGTTTCGAAACGAACATATATACTTCGATGAAGCATAGGCGCTAGGCCACCGAGTTTTTGTTGAAATGATCTATATTGTTTTGTAAACTATAAAAAAAAATACATGTTATGTTGTGTCTACTTACTCAGTCCTTTGCCTTCACAAAACGCAAGAATGAACATTGAAAGATTCCCGAGAATCATACACTGAACACATAACACCGTGAACACGGTCCGTTGAAAGATTCCCGAGAATCATACACTGAACACATAACACCGTGAACACGGTCCGTTGAAAGATTCCCCTTACCCTCAACCACCGTGAACATGAAAGATTCTCCATACACTCAACACATACTCCCGAGAATCATACACTCAACACATAACACCGTAAACACGGTCCGTTGAAAGATTCCCGAGAATCATACACTCAACACATAACATCGTGAACACGGTCCGTTGACAGATTCCCGAGAATCATATACTGAACGCAAACACTGTGAACACGGTCCGTTGAAAGATTCCCGAGAATCATACAATCAACACAAACACTCAATGAACTCAGTCTACAACCTGACGAGGATTCAAAAGAACCATACCGAACATATACCGAAGTCTCCCGAAGATTGCCGAGACCCGAACGGCGACTTCCGAACGCTTTATCTTGGTTAGGTACTAGTTATACACTAGGTGGGAAATGCCATTTCAAAAGACCATATTTTCTGCGAAATGCCAAAAGGAAAATAAACGTTTTGATATCATGTATAATTAAGGGGTAACTATGTAGCCATGTCAAGTTTCTTGGGATATGATATCTTATTTTAAAGAAGATATGAAGCATTTTGTAAAGTCCGATTTCCGGCGAACTGCGTTACCAGCAGTACCATCACTGGCCGTTAAGGTCGCTGCTGCACACGGTAATGACATCACCACTAGCCAATCAGACGCCCGGTACACTACCAGGTGCATAAATGTGAAAATTATGTGAATTTCGTGCAAAATTTCAAGGAAATGTGAAAAAATGTGATGTAATGTGAATTTTTTTGAGGTTCAACAGCATCACATTTTATCACATAAGTTCACAGAAAATCATATAAAATAACATTTCTGAAGCGCGACACCTTTATGTGAAAAAATGTTATTATTTTGCGTCACATTTTTTTCACATTTGCAGTGAACGGTCCAGAAAAATCACATTTTCAAATGTGAAAAGATGTTATCTAAATGTGATGTTGGATCTCCTCCCATTATGTGAAATTATGTGACTGCCTGTATGTTCTTTTTCCGCCGATGCCTATGTGATTTTTATGTGAAACGTAGTCTCAGTGAAAATGTGAAACAATGTTAACCTGAGTCACATTTTTAAAAATGTGTCTTTATGTGAAAGTTATGTGAAATGGGTTTGACTACAAAATGTGAAAAGATGTGAAGACATCTGGCATTCCGCGAAATGTGAAATTTATGTGATGTTCACGAAAACGCAAAATGTGAAAAAATGTGACATCAAATCACATTTTTGACATGTGAAATAAATGTGAAATTATTGTGATTCGTGATTACACAAGACCGGGAATCATGTGAGCTGACAGAATATGTAAAAGGTAAGTGTACTTGTAGGTCTTCTCCATTGAATGGGCTAATCATTTGTGGGGCAATCGCGCGAATGTGTATTGTAAACAATACAGGCCTATTACCTTATTGTATGATGTGATTATTATCTATCATTCAGTACTAATCAACGAACAAAAGGTGTGAAAACCCCCCCACTCCCTCTCGCGTGCCACTCTTATGTTGCTAATTATCCATTTTACAAGTGAAAGCGCCGAATATCGCGACACATTGATAGTTTGGCCAAGGCCAGTCAAGGCGTTTGAAACACTATTTAAGTAAAGAATCACATGTTTGAATCCCTTTGGTCCAGTTTGTAAAGGCAGTCTGTACAAAATATCGTGTAAGCATCATGAAATACATCAAGTTAATGCTATAAACTTATACAGTATCTTGAAGAACCGAATTAATGAGTCCCCAAGTCAATCGTTAGGACAAGTAAACAAATAAACTCGCAAACTCGTGCCAGATATTTCCGTCCCCGACCCGTTATTAAGGGAATCCCTGGTATGCACCGAAAAAAGTACAAGATAACTAGAATGGGGAGTTCAGCCTCCTTAATTTTTATTCACTAATTACAAGCAAGCGACACAAATCTGATGTCAAATAAGCAAGGACGTGTTCCATTTATTACGTCATAACAACAGAAGCGGGCATACCCCGTGTTTTCCTAACATGGACATGCTAAATAAATAGATCGTCGCGTAAAAATAGTCCACAGTTACCCGGGTATTATGGCCTTTCTCGGTTTGAAAAATGGTTTATCTGTCTCGAGTTGAACATATTCTATGACTTCTAAATGTTCAGGAACTCAGTACATACAGCGCCGTGTATATAGACACGGACCGTAGTAAACTTCGGGTAGGTTGTTGACTGACAAGTTATGGGTTCCAGGCTGATAACGAAAGAATCGTTTAATCTAAAGGAAATTAAAATAGTCCACAGTT